GATTATCTCTGACTCCAGAATGAAGCGTGAATTTCTTGGCTGGCCCACAACGTCTTGAGTGACCTGGCCTGAGAGTATCTGGCCGTCCTCCCCATTCACCCCGACTCCAACGCCTTTGGCTCAGTGTCAGCTGTGCTCCTTGGCTGGGCACACATGATGCTCTTGTCACATTTGGTTCAAATCTTTCCCCAATCTCCTTCCCTCTGATTTTTTAATCCTCTCTATGCCCTGAATGTTCATTAGCTATAATGCTAATGAACTCAGGCAACAGGGTCCCCTCGCTCACCCTCAGAGATGAGCTCCTTCTTGGCAAGACCTGGCTCTTGTAGGTTGAGATTCTAGCCCTGATGCCTAGTGCCTAGGAATGGTCTCCAAACCTGGACAGAGCATCTCTAAAGTACTGGAGGACAATGAGGAGATGGGACTGAACTGGGACAGCCGAGGTTTTGAGTCTTCCCAAGGGGCCCCATTGTCTTCTGCAAGGATGGGGAAAGCGCCACTTTCTGCAACTGCACAACTGCATTTCAAAGAAGCCAGCACCATAGGAAAACAAATGTCCCACCATGGGCTTACTGTGTGAGCAGTGAGTCTTCCAAGGCCCAGACTGGACATTAGTTTTAGTGGAAAAAGAAAGAATCCCTGATGGGTTTAGAGTCAGAAGTCTAGGACTTGAGCCTGCCCTCTAGAATGTTTTGAGAGTCTCATTTTCAGATGGCATTGGGTCAGATCTGACGTCACCAACACCCAGTTTCTGCAGCCTGGAGCCCAGGAATGAAGAGTGTTGTTTACCTCCTCCTGGGGTTGCTCTGAGGTGATGTGACTACACCCCTTTGCTCAGGGCTTGCCTGGCAACGAGTGCCCCCTGAAGATGCTGCCTCTTTTAGCCACCACCGTTGCCTTGCTTTTCTGTCAGAGTCATCAAGCTTAGCGCCGAGCATCTGGGAATCTTCCACTGAGAAGGAAGGCACCACTTAGACATCCACGCATGCAGCTTTTAAACACAGGGAATATGGAGGAACTATCACAGAACTCACGGAGGGAGAGCTTTAAAAGGAAACACAGACTTATGTCAAAACAGTTGCCTCAACTTTGGGGAAATGTCTGCCTCGGGGCAGGAGGGAAGGAAGATGGAATCAGAGGGTGGGGACAAGGGAAAGGCTCCTTGGGGTAGTCCGCTATGTGGTCTCAGTGGACCCCTTCACACACAGTTCTAGGGATTAGGGACAGGAAGTCATGCTGGTTGGACACAGGGTGACACTTCCCGGTATTTTTGAAAGCCTTGTTTATTGCACCCAGCAATCTCATTTCTAAGAGCCCATTTGAAGTCAAGAAAACTGGAAACAACATAAATGCCATTCAATAGAGGATCGGCTAGTTGACTCCTAACATATCCACGGAGAATAGCCATGAGCAATCGTTGATACCTTTCTTTGGATATGGAAGTGACAAATACATCACTGCAGGTAAAATGGTATGGATATAAGGAATGTTTTTCCCACATGAGAAAATGCATTGATACATTAGGGGTTGGGTTGTACTTTAGTTCATCAACAGAGTGTCCCTGCATTGCTTCATGAACAGCAGAACTGTAATAAATCCTTAATTATGCTACTTTCCCACTGAAAATCCTGTAGGTCACTTATTTCTGACCTTTCCACTCCATCCTGGGTAGTTTATGGCCTTGGTTCTTGGAGTGTTATCTCTGTCCTACAGCACACACAGAAAGGGCGTGGCCAACTGTCTTCATTGTCTATTGCTGGGATTAAAGCACCATGACCAAAAGCAGCTTGGAGAAGAAAGGGTTTATTTCATCTTACAATGTGTAGTCCATCATCCAGGGAGGGCAGGCCAGAAACTGGAGGCAGAGCTGATGTAGAGGCCGTGGAGGAGTGCTGGCTTGTTCTCCATGGCTTGTTCAACCTGCTTCCTTATAGAACCCAGGAGCAACTGACCGTGGGTTGGTAGCACCACCTACAGCAAGCTGGGTCCTCTCACATTAATCACTAAGCAAGACAATAGTACCCCACAGACTTGCCTATAGGCCGATCCTGTGCAGGCAATTTTTAAATTAAGATTCCTCCTGCCCAGGTATGTTTAGATTTGTGTCACACTGACAGAAACCAACCAGAACACCATCTCTTCATAGCGTTTGCAGGTTCCACAGATCACACATCACCTAGGGAGACTTCCAGAACCAATACAAGGATGATCACATGTTCCTAAGGGAGTGGGAGTGTTGTTCAGAAAGCTGGGCATCTCTGGGCTGGCCCCTTGCATGCCAAAGCATTGGCAATGAGCAGTGGGAGGAAGGGCAGGCCAGGCATGAGCATACGGTACCCACAGGGCCACGTGAGGGACGCATTCGGGGTGTGGTGGGCGACTTAGCTCGTATCACGACACAGCAATGGGGCCTGATTCTAGTCAGCCTCTCTTTCTGTGTTTCTGTTTCCTCCTTTATAAGTAAGACTTCGCCATGACCCACATTTCTCAGAGCAGGTGGCCTGGTGTGCTCCATCCAGGGCATGCTAATAAACGCCCCTGGAGGAGGGGTCTGGGGCCAAGTGCGCCTGGGTCAAGATGCTTGTCACATCGCACGCTTGACACGCCCAGGGCACATGGGCAGCTTCACAGCTCTGAGCAGTCCTGCGGTAAATAAGCTTACTAAGTGATGTTTATATCAACCTGCCTCACATTTATTTCACTTTGGGCTCTTAGGGAGAATACGTATGTACGTGTGTATGTGTGTATGTATGTATGTATGTATGTATGTATGTATGTATGCATGTATATGTGTGTGTATTTCCTTCCTTCCTTCTTCCCTCCCTTCCTCCCTCCCTCCCTCCCTCCCTCCCTCCCTCCCTCCCTCCCTCCCTCTCTCTCTCTCTCTCTTCCTTCCTCCCCCAGGTGTTGGTCTGGCACACACGCTGAGTTCAGTCACATCTGAGGTCACCCCTTCTCCTCTGAGTCCACGGCCGTGAGCCTGCTGCTGCTCCCTCAACACTTGCTGTCACTCCGCGTGGTAGGCCCTTAAGTTGATAGCAGACCACCTGGCCCTGTGGAGGAGAGGACGGCTCCCTGAGAGAGAGAGAGAGCTCGCACATAGGCCTGCTGCCATCACAGTGTAGAGGCTGATGGGATGGGACGCAGGGAGAAAGGGAGTCTAGAAGCCCTTGGACACCTGAATTCAGACGGCCCCCTGGATTGGGGCCACAACATAGGCACCCACAGCGAGAGGGCAGGGTATTCTGAGAGCTGGGGAAGGGCTTTTGAACTGTATGTACTCCTTCATTTCCAGTGAGCGACCCATCTGTAACCCATAGCCAGGGTTGTGTGGGTGACTTCCGCATTTGAGCACCATCGCCTAATGAAGAGGTTATGAGGCCACACACATGCCTCATAAAAATAGGACTAATCCACAGGCTTTTCCAGCTCAGCCTGAGTGCGTGGACTGAATGAGTTGAAACGCACGAAGGCTTGAGGATAACCGGATCTCCACAGATGGCGTTGCAATGATTGACTGCTGTGGTTTATATTCTTATCAAGGTTCCATTCAGACTTGACAGTTCACACACGCGCAGCGCGCATGCGCACGCACACACACACACACACACACACACACCTTCACCTTACAGGACCAAGATAAAGCTCGCTTTCCCCAAGTCTCCCCTCAGCTTCTCTGTATGGCACCACGCCCACCTGCAGCGCACACTTTGAGGCACCTGGAAGTTAGAGGTGGGTGTCCTCCACTCCCCATTCCCACCAGTCCACCCAGATTGTCCTCAGGGTTCTCCCCAAGTCTCCTTCCCACCCATGAAGCCCCCCAGTCTACACCAAGCTTCATCTCTGGATGGAGGCGCGGTCTCAGAAGTGAGCTCTCTGCTTCCCCTACGGTGACTCTTTCAGGGGCAGCTTGAAGGCCCGTGGCGGATGCACGTGTGGTACGGGGATACAGAGTGAGGCTCCTGACTGTGGCACTGTGGACGCCTGGTCCTTCCCTCAACCACCTCAACGACCCAGTGGGTCGTCTGTACTCTAGGCCCGTGGGTCGTGCTGTAGTCCTTAGACTGTAGGAAGATTCCCCGCCATGCCCTCTTTCTACGGCATTACCGATGCTCTCCCACAGGCAAATCTCCGCCGATGGCTTTCTTAGTTTCCCCGCACTATACCACCTAGTGGGTGATCCCACGGGCTGTCTCACAGTTCCATTTTTAGGACCTTCACAAATGCTGTTCTCCACTAGTAATTATTCCTTTATTTGTAGACACGTTTGCTGTTCATCCATCTGCAAAGAAAATTCTGCAGGACCCGGTGCCAGCCCCATTTGTGAATACGGCAGACCCTGGGTCCCTATGTGCCGCATGAGCGGCTCCCTCTTTACCCTGCCTTCTATCTAGTCTCAAGACGAAACGCACTGACTAATAAGCAAATAAAGTCACCCCGTGGCTGTCATCAGATCATCTCAGAGCTAGAACAAGCAACCCACGCACGAACGTACGTACGTACGTACGTACGTACGTATGTGAGCTTTTAGACAACCAGGAAACCCGCCAGCTCATGCTGAGAGCACCCACCCGAGGCGACGTCTGTGGTCTGCGCCAGCACTCTGAGTCAGGAGGTTCCACTTGTAACCATTGGACTTTGAGGTAGCTATCTCCAAAGCAGACAGTGTTTCCCATCCGGCTGGTGTCTGACCCCCAGGTTCTATGGGACATCTAGAGCGTCCCGATGTGTATCACCCCTGAAGTGTGGATTGACCAAGGTGTAGACATAGATATCTCAGAGGAGTGCTTGTCCCTGAGGAATGCTTAGCGGAGGAGCAGAGGATGGTTACAACCTTTTTGCTTCTCAGTGATCATACCCCCCCCCCGCCCCGCCCGTCTACTGCTATTTCTGGGGAAGCTAACATAAATGTTTATTGACAACACAGTCATCAAGAAAATAAAGTCGCTGATTCATTGCCTTGCCCTGAAACTCTTTGTTTCTCTCTCTGCTTCCTTCCTCTTTATGAAGGCACACTCTAAGGGCGAGCACATTTGGGGGGTGTGCACTTGATGTGAGGTGTTGCTGGCTGCCATTGCCTTTTCCACCGCCGACATACAGGTCAGGACTCCTGTGAGGGCAGAGGATCAACACCCACCTCTGGGGGCTCAGAGGAACGATGGAAGTTTTGGGGTCTCTCAGGTTAGAAGCGAGTGGCACCGTGGTGACTCTGACCCTGTTTGTGGCTCTCTTGGCCCTCCTGAAATGGTAAGTGCAGCCAGCCCCAGGGACTGTGACACGGCTAGAGATGTCCTCCCTGGGACTGTAAAACGTCCTCCCTGGAGCCTGTGGTGCCAGGCGGGGTGTGCGGGCACGTGTTTTTCTTCTTGTCTAATCTAGAGGGGGTTGAGTATTAACACAGCTTCAGAATTAAAAGCAAACAGCCAGGTTAATCTTTTGCTAAAATGCATGAGAATCAAGTGTCAGGAAATGCTGGTGATTCAGTGACTGAGAACGCTGCACATAATTAAGTCTGAAAGAGATGGGAAGAGAAGGAAATCGGAAAGGCATGAGGGATGGCCGGAAGTGTTTCCTCAGGACCCCTCAAACGCCGTCATATTGTCTCACCTTGCTTTCTGAGATCCTTCCTTCACGTTGGGTTTACAACGGATTCAGCCTCTTGGTTCACAGGATATTTAAGACCTGGAAGCTCTTGAGCAAAAGGACCAGTGACAGGGATGTCTGCAGGCTTAATGACAAAGTGGTAGAATGAATTTCCTAATTTTCTGCCACAGAGGTGCAAGTTGTGCAGCCTTTGAAGCTGGGGAACCTGAAAGAATCTTGAACTTGGGCTACACAGTCTCTCCCCCGTGGGTTTGTTAATTCAGCAGCAGCGTTCTTAATCTGGCCCCGGTGATGGCTGTAAAATAAAGACCTCACAAGGAGCTATGTTTGTGTCCCCCTAGCCTGTCAGTTACCCCAGTTAGACTTCTCAATGCTGCCTATGAGTCTCAACCACCTGGGTTTCGGTCTCTCTGGGCTTTAAGGGGAAAGTGGAAAAAAATAATAGAGCTGGAAGAGAGTTTCAATTTATGTTTCTAGTGGTAATAAAGCCTCCTGTAGATTAATAACCGGGAAGGCACTTTGAAAAACATCAAGCATTATGCAAATGTGAGGTATTATTCTTTTGGAATTTGCATAGCCGAAAGTGGAATGCACGTTTGATGTTCTCTGATGATGAAATGACTTCTTGGAAATTGGCTCTGAAGCCCGGCTTCAATCCCAGTGCTCTTTTGCTTTTTAACTGGTTTAATTATTTTTTGAACTTCTCTGTCTCGGCGTGGCTTATCTGGCACTGAAACCAGCCACATGTGAAAACAAGAGCAAATGGCGGCCCCTTGCCCCCAAGCCCCGATAATCCACTTCAGTGTGCTTTTATGCTCTGTAGAATTCAAAACAAAGTATGCGACATGCAGGAGGTGCATAAAAAAAGTCAACCACTATAATTGACTCCCAGCTCTGTAACCCAAAGCAGAGGAAAGCATGTTTGGGGTTGGGGAGGATAGCTTGGAGCACGAGCAAATAGGTGACATGTGTCGATGTCCTAGGCTTGACCCCCCCCACACTGCAAGTGAAAGTCTTAGTGTGTATTTTCACTTCTTTTTCTTTTTTGGTTTTTCGAGACAGGGTTTCTCTGCATTGTTTTGGAGGCTGTCCTGGAACTCGCTTTGTAGACCAGGCTGGCCTCGAACTCACAGAGATCCACCTGCCTCTGCCTCCCGAGTGCTGGGATTAAAGGCGTGCGCCACCAACGCCAGGCTGTATTTTCACTTCTTATTAATGTTCTGATTATGATCTGGGGCTGTAGCTCAGTTGGTAGAGTGCTTACATACCATTCACGAAGCCCCGGGCTGGATCCCCGGCACCACGTAAGTACTGGGTATGGTGACATAAATCTTTAATCCCCGAACTGGGGAGGTAGAGGCAGGAGGATGAGTTCAAGGCCATCCTTAACCAACCCAGATATAAGATCTTGTCTCAAAAAAGAGATAAAGAAGTGCTTATTAATAGTACTTTCTCTCCATCAGCTGCGTTCTGTGGCACTCAAAGCCTCACCTGCCGGAGCCTTCCAGGTGGTCCTGCAGCATCAACGCCTGCTTGGACACATTTCATCACCCCTCTGTCTTTCTCACCTCTGTCTGCTTTACTCTGCCCCCGACTACAGCGTGGCCTCAATAAATGTTTGATGAGCGAGTGAGTGAATTGCACACGTCCCCATTCCTCTGATCACAGAAAGGGCGCGTGTCCTGCCTGATAAGCTGCATGGCTGGGTGTTCCCAATCAGCTTTCGGCAGAGACTCACGGACACACCATCCGGCAAGGCAGCTGTGTGTGCCTAATCTGCTCCCAGGCCCTATTAATAACTAGGTTCAAAGATGAAGAGTGAGGATAGAAGCCTGGAGCACAGGTGGTCAATAGGAAGTAAGAGATAGCGTCCATTCGTTATCGCAGAAGTATTTATTGACCTGATAATGTGTGCCAGCATGGTGGAGGGATGGGGGGATCTGGGTCAAACAAACCAGGGATGGGGCGCCACAGCTGTGGTGGGGGCGGGGTGGGGATTGAGCTCAATGTCTACAAAGCTGAAAATTGCTAGGGAGGAAGCACAGGGATCATGGCTGAGGCCATGGCCCATGGCTATGGTACTCAGCTCAATAACAGACACGCTTGGACTACTCATGGTCCTACTCCAGGCAGGACACCAGGCAGCCAGGAGAAGCCCCCAGTTTGACTTTGGCAAGGCTTCTAACCCTCTGGCTGCATTTCCTGTGAGCATCTCTATATATGGGGGGGTTGTGTCTCCAGGGAAGGGAGACAAAGGTCAGGAATTTGAGGTATAGAAAGACCCTCACTGTCCTCTTGTATCTGAGAAGGTTTGTAGAGAATGGTGTGTTCTACTAGGCTATCTGCCAGGGTTTCCAGCCTTCTGGTATTGGCACACAATGTAGTCATCTGTGAAGCTCATAGTTGAGAACTATGCAATTGAGTTACAAAAGAAAACCACACACACACACACACACACACACACACACACACACACAAACCAAACTCATGTCTTAAGTAAGTTTAAGTGGGTAGTGATGATTCATGCCTTTAACCCCAGCACTCAGAATGTAGAGGCAGGAGGATCTCTGTGAGTTCAAGGGCAGTCTGGTCTACAGAGCTAATTTTAGGACAGCCAAGGCTGTTACTCAGTGAAACCCTGTATTGGGGGGGGGGAAGCCATAAAAATTTTAAATAAGTTTAAGATTTTGTGTTGGGCTGAATTCATGGATATCCTTGGCCATATGTGTCCTGTGGGATGATGGTTGGATGCACCTAGCTGACCTCTTTTAGGGGCTCCCTCTGACCAGTCCAGGGGAGACTGAAGTGGGTAGCCTAGCGCTGAGCAGACAAAGGCACCAGGGACCTGAGGTTGCATCATGCTCCCTCAAGCCTGTGAGTTCTTCAAGGGCTTTTGCAGGTTCTCCCTTCTCATTGCAATTCTGGAAGCACAGAGCTTGCGGCACAGAGGCCCTGCTGATGTTTGGCCGAATGAGGCCAATTTCATAAGTCCATATTCATCAGCTCCAGATACCCCCAGTGGCCTCTGTTGTCCATTTCCCTGATCTCTCCCGGCAGCCTGTACATTGGTCACACTCGACTGTGCAGTGCTGGCAATGCCTCGTGCTGTGCACGGTCAGTCTCCTGGTTCTCTCCCTCAACACTGAGCTCAGGGGTGTGTTCATGGTGAAGCATCCCTCCAAGACACCGAGAAACCCACCTCTGCCCGGTTCCTCTTTCACTCCCAAAGCCTGGCGTAGCGATAGATGTCTAATCAGTGCCAGCAGAAGGCCTGAGTCTCTGCCCGTCCTTTCTCGCTTGGCCTTCTGTTAGAGTTCATGGCTGCACAGAAACCCAAACCTTCCGCCGTGAGCCTCACTTGCTTCCTGAAGCCCTCATGTGTGCGGTGTGAGGCAGCTTGGTGCCTGCCTTTCTAATTATTTCGGCTTGACTGTTTCTACCATCCTGCTTACCTTGTAGGGAGGAGACCATGGACTTAATAATAAGCAAATTATTGTTAAGTACATGAATGGATTTGGAAGAAAGACAAGGTAACGCCATTTCATTTAAAGAGTGACTGCAATAAACTAGGTGTGATATTATTTTGATCAATCCCCCCAAACTGAATTGGTACCATTTCCCAGTGTTGTCCGTTTCAATTGACCGATGCTTGGTTAGGTGGTGTGAAATGGGGCATTGGTGGGTCAGGGCTGCTTCACTAGGACTGGGGATGGAGTTGGGGGCATCCATTAGGTTAGCAGGAAGGGTGTGAAGCTTATGCCATGGTGATTAGCACACTGTACAAACCGTGTGTGTGTGTTGTGTGTGTGCATGAGAGAGAGAGAAAACATTGTGTGTCTTCTTATATTTTTCCCTATCTTATTTATTGAGACAGGGTTTCTTACTGAGCCTGAAGCCCACCGATTCTACCATACCTCTTTCTAACAGGATAAAGAAATCTTTATCTGCCCCAGGGATCCAGCTGCCAGGCCTGACATGTTGCTTGGAAGTTGAAACACACTAGTACTTAAGGGTGTCTTAAGCAACATTCAACTCAACTTACTTCTTGGAGTAAGAATTTCAAACAATTTTGTTTAGAAAAATGATGTCTCCTCCCCAGCCCCATCTCAATGCTGGGTATGAAACGCAGGGTTTTGTTCACACTACACAAGCGCTCTACCACTAGGCCATATCACCGGATTGCAAGCGAAAGCCACCAGATGGCAAGTGAGCCTTAATCTCATAGGGATAAGACCGTGGCTCCGTGGAGAGAGCATGAAGACCTGGGCTCAGATCCTTAGCATCGAACATAAGAAAACAGGTATGGTAGCCCAACTACCAACTATTAATAATAGGCTTCTTTCAGTGGTAGAGTTAGGGAAGATATTTTTCTTCTTTTAGTCTTTCTATAGTTTCCCTGTTTCTTTAAGGAGAGACTACTTAGCAAAAGAAAGAAAGAAAGGAAGGAAGAAAGAAAGAAGGAAATGTTGCTTTTAAAACAAAAAAGGAATGGGAAACCGTTCCTGTCAACAAGCACAGGGGACACAGGAAGCAACAGGGGAGGTTTGGAACCTGAGGTGTCGCAGTTTCGTGTGGGGATTTGGAAGGGTGGTGTCATCAGCACTGAAGGCCCTGTGAAGACAGCAGAGGCAGCACCAGCCCTC